GACAAGTGGGCAGAAAACAACAGAATGCGGTTCAACAAGGAGAAATGCAAAGTGCTGCACCTAGGGAGGAAAAATGTCCAGCACACCTACAGCCTAGGGAATGACCTGCTGGGTGGCATGGAAGTGGAAAGGGATCTTGGAGTCCTAGTGGACTCCAAGATGAACACGAGTCGGCAGTGTGACGAAGCCATCAGAAAAGCCAATGGCACTTTATCGTGCATCAGCAGATGCATGACGAACAGATCCAAGGAGGTGATACTTCCCCTCTATCGGGCGCTGGTCAGACCGCAGTTGGAGTACTGCGTGCAATTCTGGGCGCCGCACTTCAAGAGGGATGCAGATCTGGAGAGGGTCCAGAGAAGGGCCACTCGTATGGTTAAGGGCTTGCAGACCAAGCCCTATGGAGAGGGTTCAGAGAAGGGCCACTCGTATGGTTAAGGGCCTGCAGACCAAGCCCTACGAGGAGAGACTAGAGAAACTGGACCTCTTCAGCCTCCGCAAGAGAAGGTTGAGAGGCGACCTTGTGGCTGCCTATAAGTTCATCACGGGGGCACAGCAGGGAATTGATGAGTATTTATTCACCAAGGCGCCCCGGGGGTTACAAGAAATAATGGCCACAAGCTAGCAGAGAGCAGATTTAGACTGGACATTAGGAAGAACTTCTTCACAGTTCGAGTGGCCAAGGTCTGGAACAGGTTCCCAAGGGAGGTGGTGCTCTCCCCTACCCTGGGGGTCTTCAAGAGGAGGTTAGATAGGCATCTAGCTGGGGTCATCTAGACCCAGCCCTCTTTCCTGCCTATGCAGGGGGTCGGACTCGATGATCTATTGAGGTCCCTTCCCACCCTAACATCTATGAATCTAAGAGCCAGAGTGCATGGCAAACTGGGGAGAGGAGCTGAACCCACCAGCACATGCTTTCAGGAACTCCCTTCCATGGGTGCCTGGATGGAGAGGCTTTTGAAAGAGAAGAGGCTGGTTGCTGAATGGGGCAGGGGTGGATGTTCCAGGCATGGAAAAGGACACAGAGATGGGAATGGGCGTAGAACTAGGCCAGTGACAAGACTCAGAAGAAGTTTGGGGGGATGCTGAGCGAGGGGTAGGGGGGTATCCCACCAGCCATATCCCTGGGATCAGCTCACAATCTGATACAACTGAGGATTCTTGTTCCATGCTTTAGAGCAGTGGTTTTCCACAGACTCCTGGGGACCACAGATTATATCTAAAGCACCCACGACAGATGACTATGATCAATCAAAAGTATGTGTCTGCACCTCCATTAGAAATTTTTTACGGGGTCCACAAATGAAAGAAGATTGAAAACCAGTGCTCTAGAGAATGATGTGAAATCTCTGTTAGTGAAACATGCAGGCCAGCAGATAGCATATACTGAGGAGTATAGATTCATAGATGTTAGGGTCGGAGGGGACCTCAATAGATCATCGAGTCCGACCCCCTGCATAGGCAGGAAAAAGTGCTGGGTCTAGATGACCCCAGCCAGATGCTTTGGGTCTAGATGACCCCAGCTAAATGCCTATCTAACCTCCTCTTGAAGACCCCCAGGGTAGGGGAGAGCACCACCTCCCTTGGGAGCCCCTTCCAGACCTTGGCCACTCGAACTGTGAAGAAGTTCCTCCTAATGTCCAGTCTAAATCTGCTCTCTGCTAGCTTATGGCCATTATTTCTTATGTCCAGTCTAAATCGGCCTTCCAGAAGTTTGTGGCTGTTAGACTTTGTTATCCCTTGGGGAGCCCTGGTAAACAATTGTTCTCCCAGATCTTGGTGTACTCCCTTGGTGCATCCCGCTTATAAGCACCTACTCTGGACTCAGTCAAAAGTCATTTGGATGCATATAGTTTCCTAGTTGGTCGGGTCGGAAGGGACCTGAGCAGATCATCAAGTCCAAAAAGTACTGGGGTCAAACGACCCCAGCGAGGTGTTCGTCTAACCTCCTCTTAAAGACCCCCAGGGTAGGAGCCAGCACCGCTTTGCTTGGAAGCTGGTTCCAGATCCTAGCCGCCCTGACAGTGAAATAGCACCTCCTATCTTGCTGGGATCATTTCATAGTTGGTAGGGTCGGAAGGGACCTGAGCAGATCATCAAGTCCGACCCCTGCCATGGGCAGGAAATAATGCTGGGGTCAAACGTCCCCAGCAAGGTGATTGTCTAGCCTCCTTTTGAAGACCCCCAGGGTAGGAGCCAGCACCACTTCCCTTGGAAGTTGGTTCCAGATCGTAGCCACCCTGACAGTGAAGCAGCGCCTCCTGATGTGTAGCCTGAACCTACTCTCAGTCAGCTTATTTGACCCCAGCAGACTTCCTGCCTATGACAGGGGGGCTGGACTCGATGATCTTGTGAGGTCCTTTCCAGGCCCTAACGTCTATGAAATCTGTGAAACAAGGTGGGAGACCAGTTTCATACATTGTAAAGACTGGAAGGAACCTCACAAGATCATTGAGTCCAGCCCCCCTGCACTAGGCAGGAAAGACAACTGGGGTCAGGTGCCCCCAGCAAGGTGACCGTCCAGTCTCCTCTTGAAAATTTCCAGGATAGGTGACTTTACCACCTCTGGAGGGAGCCTATTCCACAGTCTGGACACCTGAACTGTGAAGAAGTTTTTCCTGGTGTTAAGCCTAAAACAGTCTTCCAGGAGTTTGTGGCCATCACTCCTGGTTTTCCCCAAGGGTACCCTGGGTGAACAGTTGTTTGCCGAGCCCCTGACATATTTCCCTGATGTAGCAGTAAGCTCCTACCAAGACCCCCTCTCAGCTTTCTCTTTTTTAGGCTGAAGAGTCCCAGGTCTCTCAGCCTTTCCTTGTATGGCTTGCCGTGCAAGTCTCTGATCATACTAGTGGCTCTTCTCTGGACTCTCTCAAGCTTTACCACATCCTTGTTGAAGTGTGGTGCCCAGAACTGGACGCAGTACTCTAGCTATGGTCTCACCAATGCTAAGTAAAGCAGAAAAATTACTTCCTTGGTTTTGCTGGAGATGCTTCAATTGATACATGTCAAAGTATTATTTGCCCTGCTGGCTACAGAGTCGTACTGACAACTCATATTCGTACTGTGGTCTATTATTACTACTAGGTCCCTTTCAATTGTGGTGCTGGTCAGTTTGGCACTGCCAAGTCTGTAGGGCTGCAGGGGATTGTTCATCCCCAGATGGAGCACTTTACATTTCTCAATGTTGAACTTCATCTGGTTCCAGTCTACCCAACTTGCCAGCCTGTCTAGATCCACCTGTATCTGCAGCCTATCTTCAAGTGCGACCAAGCTCCACCATAACTTGGTGTCATCCATGAACTTGGCTAGTGATTTCTTCATCCCCACGTCCAAATCATTGCTAAAGATGTTGAAAAGAACTGGACCAAGCACTGACTCTTGAGGGACAACACTGGCCACTTCTCGCCAAGACAAAACAGATCCATTCATTAGGACTCTCTGGGTCCTAACCCACAGCCAGCTTCCTACCCACCTAACTGTCGTACAGTTAAGCCCGCAATCCTCCCATTTTCTTGCGAGTTTGAAAAGCAGCAACTCACACAAGCGCTTGGGGTTGTTGTAGGTCATGGACAACCTGTGTTTAGTGCAAGACTGTGGTGCAGTGGGTAACGCAACCCTGGGACATGTGAAACAGTGATTATCAAGAGCACGAGGGAAGTGCCCCTGTCTATGCACAGGGCTGTCAAGGCCCAGCAGTCACAGAGCTGAATCTGGACACTCCTGGAAGATGTCCTCACCCCTTAAGAGCATCTGTGAATGGACAAGAGTCCTCCCCGATCCAGACAGCTCCCAGAGGAGAGAAGGACCCACAGGGAACCTCACCTGCTCCTCACATGCAGACCCGAACAGCATCTCCTGGCACAAGCATCCCCAAAACTTATCCTGCCACCTGCCCCCTGGCCAGCCTGGAAACACCCCCTCACCGCACTCTCAGACTCACCGCTGCAGCCTTCAGCCAGCCCCGGGAGACTTCGCCCACTTGCACGGCCCCATTGCTCTCCTGGGGCTGGAAGGACACATTGCCCAGAGACAGGACCCCAGCCAGGATTGCCTGCATGTCCACCTGCTCCTGGAGTACAGAGGGGAGGTGGCTCAGGATAGCAGGCATGTGTGCCCAAGCATACACATGCACACACACACACACACACGCGCGCGTATGTGCGCACGTGTACATACACATGCACACACGGCATGCAGCAGTCACCTCCCAGGCTAACTGCAGCCTCCCAGTGGTGGGGGGTAACGGGACACTGCAGGGGAGGCTCTGCATGGTATCTGCCAACCTCTGGCTGCCTGGGAACAGCAGGAGCAGGTCAGAGAAAAGCAGAACTTGGCTGAAGTGAGTCTGGGGACAAGTGAGTCTGGGGAAGGAGAAAGGAATAAGGCTGAGCAGGAGGGAGGAAGGGAGAAGGGGAATCTTGATGGGTCCCACTGTGCTCACCTGCTCCTGGAAGCCCACCATGTCCAGGGCATTGCACACCTCCCGGTACTTGTGCTTCCAGCATTCAATCATGGCCTGTGTCCCAGAATGGCCACCAATGTACCTGGGGAGACGCACTGCTTTTGCATGTATCCAGGTACACAAGTTACTACAAGTTACAGGCCCTACACACCCATCTGAGACTACTAACCGCTAGAGCTGCACCCACACAGACAGCCAGTCCCTGTCATCCCCCTGTGCATCTAGGAAGACTAGGACAGGGCAGGGGATGGGGAGCAGAGGCAGTAATTTCCCTGGGTCACACAGCAGGTCCATGGCAGAGCCAGAAACAGCCAAGATCCCCCATGACCAAAACCAACAAACTGCCCTAGTGCAATAATCACAAGACATGCTGCAATTATGCAGCAGGCAATGGGATGTTCTATTATATCCTATACAAGCAGGAAAATCTTCCAGGAGTCCACGGTTTGAAAGAAACAGACAACAAAGGCTAATGTAGGAGAAAAAGGTGAGTGAAACTCACTGGAATGGGCAAAACAAGTAAGAAGGAATTTTATGCATTGGAAATCACAAGTCGTGTGTGTTTGGAGGTTTTACAATCATAGAACATGAGGGTTGGAAGGGAACTCAGGAGTCATCTAGTCCAACCCCTGCACAAAGCAGGACTTGCAGGGTTAGCCTTCTCTGCAACAAGGGCACACTGTTGGCTCATATTTGGCTTATTGTCCACTGTCATTCTCAGGTCCTTTTTTGTAGAGCTGTTGCTTAGATCTTAGTTTTGGGCCAGATCTGATCTGTTTCTGGAACTCAGAGGAAAGTCAAGAAAGCTAAAGGCATCCTGGGCTGCACTGGTAGGAGCGTTGCCAGCAGATGGAAGGCAGTGATTCTTCCCCTCTATTTGGCACTGGTGAGGCCACATCTGGAGTCCTGTGTCCAGTTTTGGGCCCCCCACTATAGAAAGAATGTGGACAAGTTAGAGAGAGTCCAGCGGAAATGGTTGGGGGGCTGGGGCACATGATTCGCAAGAAGGGGCTGAGGGATCTAGGGTTATTTAGTGCGCAGAATACTGGGAGGGGACTGAATAGTAGCCTTCAACTATCCAAAGGGTGGCTCCAAAGAAGATAGAGCTGGACTGTTCTCAGTGGTGGCAGACAACAGAACAAAGAGTAATGGGCTCAAGCTGCACCAAGGGAAGTTTATGATGGATATTAGGAAAAACTCTCTCACTAGGAGGGTGGTGAAGCACTGGAACAGGTTACCCAGAGAGGTTGTGGACTCTCCATCCTTGGAGGTTTTGAAGACCTGGGTAGACAAAGCCCCAACTGGGATGATCTAGGTGGGGCTGGTTCTGCTTTGATCAAGGGGTTGGACTGGATGACTCCCGAGGTCCCTTCCAGCCCTCATCGTCTATGATTCTATGATGTAACGAGAAGCCTAGAAAGATGAAATGGAGCGAGACAAAGGGGTCCTTTGTTGGTGTGAACTGGACCTGCTGGAGTCAGTCAGCATGGCACACCTGGAACCTCCATCACTAGCCTTGCTGTAAGCATCTTGATCAAATGCTTGTTACTGTAGTTGCTGTGTGGTGCAGTCGCTGATAAGCAGGTAACACTGGCATCAGACACAGGGTTGGCATTCAGTTACAGTAGTTCAGAATGTCTGTGTAAAATGACTGCTTGTTGGCTATAGGCCATGGGACTGAATAAAGGAATTTTAGCCCAATTATTGACGTGGTAAATCAAATGCCAGTACCAATGGACCAAGCTATGCCTTGTCCCCAGATCCCAGACCAAGCAACCTACTCCCCCAGTCCTGTGCCTACCATGCATTGCTCAGCCCCCAGGACTGGGGCAAGTCCTCTCCCCCTCTCCTGCACAGAGCTGCAGGAGTTCATAGTTCTGCTCCTCGGCCCTGCCAAGAGGTCAGAGCTGGGCCTGCGGCCAGGTACCTGTACCGTGCAGGATCCAGCAGCCCATATATCTCCTTCTCTTCTGCAGAGAGCCCTGCAAACATGTAGTAGAAGATATGGAAATTCCTCTCCCCAGCATCCTGCTGCACGACGCGGGACTTCTCCAGCAAGTACTCGCTCAGCTTGGCACCCCTCACTGCCAGCAGGGGGGCAGGTATAAGCACAGATAGCCAGGGTGACCCTGCACCTGCTGTCCACCCACCTGATCCCCCAGACCTGACACTGCCCAAAGCCAACATCTGGGGTGTGACTCCCAGCTCCCCTGCTGTGGGCCCATCCACACTGTTCACCTCACCCGGGAAATTCCAGGTGCCAGTTGCTGGCTCTTCCTCTCCTTTTGCACCACCCTGCAGTCCCCGCCTCACCCCAGGAGCCCTGCTCTACAAGCCTGGGTCTGCTCCCATGCAGGCTGTGACTGATACTGTCCCTGCTCTGTCTCCACCCCCATAAGCTCCCACATTCTCCCTGCACTAAGCCTAGACCCCCAGGCCTTGTTCCACACCTGAAGCTCTGGATCTTTCCAGCCTTACCTGTGCTCTGCTGGAACCGCAGCTGTACATACTTCCCAAAGCGGCTGCTGTTGTCATTCATCACTGTTTGGGCATTGCCAAAGGCTTCCAGCAGCGGGTTCACCTGAACAGGGAATGCAGCAGTTTGTGGGGAAGCCAAAGTAGCAAGGATGCATCCCCCACCCATGCCAGGCCACAGCCCAGGAAAGATCATAGGCCCCGTGAAAAACAAAAGGAGCAGGATGAGACTTGACTTGGACAGATTCTGCTGGAGCACACCATGGGAAGAAGGGAACCCCGCACTGCCAGAGGTTACAAGAACAGAGAGGCTGCATCTCTGAGCAGGGAGAGGACAGCAGAAGAGGGGGCTGCAGGGACTGAGCCAATTGATCCTGAATAGAGTCTGCCAAGCTTGACTGCTACCAAAAATAGAGTTTAGGCATAGTAAGGTGCCAATCTGAGGAAGATCCGCTGCTCGAGGCACAGCCGCTCCCTGTTCCTCCAACCCCAGCAGTGACTCATGTCAGGATCCAGCACTTCAATTGCAGAGATCTGTAGATTCCACACTGGAAGGAATTGCCCAGTTCCTTCAGCCTGGTCTCCTGCACAGTGCCAGCCAGAGACCTGTTCTGGGAGCCCCAGCTCCTGAATGAGACAATGAGAGTCCACCACATCAGCACTCAAGTTGCAGCTAACATGGGTCTGACTTTCTCTTGCTTCAGCTTCTAGATTCCCAGGCTCAGTGTTCCTTCATCTGCCTGAGAAGCTGAGGAACGTTCTACCCCAACCTACTCCCTGAGACCAAGTCCGCCTTTACCCTCTCGGGGGCTACACCAACTGAGCCACTTCAGCCTCCTCATATGGCAAGATTCCCAGGCTCCACTGTGTCTCAGCACCTCCTTCCCAGACCCTTCAAAGCAGCCTGCCTTCTCTTTTTTAGCATTGACCCTAGGCTGCAACACCCAGCAACAGCCTCATTAGTACCTCAGACAGATCATGTTTGCCCGTTCGTAGTCAACGCTCCCCTGTGACCATGTCCAAGGATCACATCTGCACCTGCTCTACCTACTGCAACAAACAGCTGATCATCTTCTGGGACACTCAGCCTATCTCCCAGGACCCAGCCACCAGCTCAGAAGCATGACCTATGATTGCCGTGCCTGGACCCTTGACCCTGCATTTGGCTGTGTGAAGACACACATTGGTCCAGCATCTCTCCCAACTGTAGTCAGCGCAACAAAAGACATCACAAAAAACCTTTTCCAATCAAACATTTCCTGGACCATCATGGATGCAAGAACCCTCCAAACCTACTAAGACTTCAAGACATTTGATTTGGTACCACATGACAATGTGATTCATAACCCAGAACAGTAATAAAATCACCATTGATTTAAAAGTGGCTGTGTAATAGGGAACCACCCACAGACCCTGTTCCAAAGGGAAAAAAAAAGAGATAACTTCTTACCAAGATCCAGAGCCAGCCCCCTGGCTCCTGCTGAGCAGCAACAGAGAGGGGAGTGGGAGGAATTCCATGGCACATGCTGAGGCGAGTGTGAGGAGCTGGCACTGACTGACTGAGGAATGGGAAGACAGGGTAGAAAATTTGCCGGGACACAGTTTCCCTGGAAAGCGGATAGGAGCAGGCAGTTCAAGGCTGCTGCGCAGCCTGTGGCAATGCACGGGGCAAGATTGAGGGCTTGAAGGCCCAGGTGGTGGCAGGACACCCAGGAGCCAGCAGGAGAATTGGTGGGTGAGTCTCATCAGCAGCTTACCAACTGCAGCTGGAACTGGAGCTGTGGTTAAGCAAGACAACGAAGGGAATCTGATTTGTGACCCTACTAGGAGGGAAAATAGATTAAGCCAGGATCTGATTACTGGCTACGGAATCAGGATCCAGTGAAGAGAGAGACCTGGGAGTGCCAGGCTGGGAATAACTTAGACCAGAGGGCAGAATAAAGAGGTGTTAGTGGATTGACAGTGGACTTACTTCCTGGAGAAGCCTGAGTGAGCCTCAGCTGAGTAACCCCAACTCCTCCAAAGAGAATGAGAGATGGGCAAGGACTAAGAGCAATTGAGATTTCTTCCAGGAAGAAACTGACGCACACAGACTGAGTAGAGATGAATCCACTCTTACAGGGGAAGTACCCAGGTGAAGGTGAACTGAGTGTGCAGAACGAGTCAAGCAAGTTGCTCAAAGAATATGACATCCTGACAAAGGGGATCAACATTGACCTAACCAGGTGCGATGAGGACAGGGTATAAGGGTGGCGGAGCCCTGTGGACGAGGCCATGATGCAAGTAAATTCCAGTACAGAAAAACATGAGTGCTGACCCTCCCTGTTCTTGTTATTTCTTTAACATTGTCGGAGAAATTATTCGCTTAAGCTCCCAACCTGGAAAGGGAACACCTGCGAATACTCCTGACCCCAACGGGGCTCGTTTCCCAGCTGAGACTCAAATAAGCAGGAGACGAGGGTGTGGTCTTTCCAGTTTATTCGGCCGAAGGTCCCCTGACCTTAGAAAGGCAGAGGGGCCCCGGTTGCACTCTCACACACGTATTTATATTCTCTGGTTACATGAGCTTTTCGCATGCGCAAAGCTTTAGCGGAAAATCACTAGTACTGTGTAACTCTTCTTTCACCTGCAGCGTAAGCTCCAATCAAAATAAAGTTTTAAAAAGTTTTACCAAATAAGGCACAGGTCTGCCGTTAAGCTCGTCTATCATGCTTAGTTACTATGGGGGAAGTTGTGGGCCCCTGAAGGTACAGGCTGTGCTTCCCGTATTGCCAAAGGAAACCCCTTTCTCTGCGCACAATTTCTAACAACATCAAGGCACAGCAGGTGAGGCAAGAGGAGAGCCATGACAAAGGCTGGAAGGGACAAAGATGGAGGACCAGGTCAAAGACTGGAAGAGAGACAGCAAATGGACCCATCCAAAGGCTTCTTAACAGCTCTTAAAATGTACCTGAACAAGGAATCCTCCCTGAGCAGGTGTTTCCCACAGAGCCCCACAAAGACCCTATCCCACTTAACTCTCTTGGTATCGATGAGCTGGCAGAAAACATGCAGTCATCCCTAATAAAGTTTGCAGATAAGAAAGATTAAGGGTGTGGGGTATGGTAATAAGGAAGCTGACAGATGCCCAATCTGTAATGGTCTGAATCACTTGGCAAGCTGAGCGAGCGAGCCTTGTTTCCATCTAGCCCAAAGGTAAAGTTACACAGGAAGGAACAAAGAGTATGGGCCAGGCTTAGATGTGGCTGTGGCCTGGGAAGCAATAACTCTGAGGGGGGACATGAAAGTGAGTCAGGGTCTGCAGTAAATACCAGCTGCATTAACTGCCAGGGCAAAGCCAGTGTGCGGGGCTAATGTGACTCTGGGATGCCTGGCACAAGAGAAACTCAAGTAGGAGTAGGGGGGCTATTCCTGTATTTGATAACAGTGACACAACTACTGGAATCCTGTGTACAGTCCTAGCACCCCCAGAGTAAGGAGCATGGCAATAAAGTGGAAAACATTCAGAAAAGAGCCATGAGACTGACAAAAGGACTGGAAGAGGTCTCATAGCGAGAGACTGCAGGAGTACACTCTGTTCAGTTCAAGGAAGGTGAAGGAGTAACTTGATCAAAGTCCAGCTTTCCATTGGACAAGAAACAAGGCTTAGATGTTTGACAAGGAGAGTAATGGAGTAATTGGCTACTAAAGCCACTTATCCCCTACCCCCTGCTCAGCTGTGGTTGATTTCCCATCTCTGGGGACTTTTAGCAACAGCAAAACTGGCCACTTCTCTAAAACCTGGGCTCTGCTTCAACAGGAATAAATCCAGGGCCCTATGGCCACTATCATGTGCCCCTTCTGGCCTCATACAATCCAGGAGTCCTCCTGCTTCTTCCCAAACACAGACCAGAGATGTTTACCGATCCCTCCAACCTCTTCTGCCTCGTGATAGCGGCCAGGGCCTCAGCCATATCTGTGCTATTGTTCAGATGCCAACAACCCCATCTGCCCCACCCCCCTGGGTCCCTGCCCCTGCACCCAGCCTCGCCATGAAACAACGCACCTGCAGAATCTGCTGCTCCAGCTGTGAGTGGCCCCTGCACAAGTTCATGAGGTGCTGCAGTAGGAGCTTTGTGCTCTCTGTCTTCCCTGCACCGCTCTCTCCACTGCTCAGAGAGAGAAGAAAGAGTTTCACTGGCGCCAGGACATGGCTGCTCTGTCCCTCATGCTTAGTGCACCTGCCTCTCCCTCCCCGGCACCCCATGATGGTCTCTGTCTACAGCACAGCTCCAGGGTCCTTTTGGCACTGCCCACACTGGCACCCACCTGCTCCATGCACTGGCTGACAGGTCCTGCAGGTACCGAGCCCCATGTGCCCCACTCCCAGAAAGGCAGCGTAACACCCTCTCACTGAGGAATTCTTCCTAGCCCTGAGAGGGAAGGGCATGACCCGTCTCCAGGGTAACACCCCATAGTGGGGTGGAGGGAGGGGTAATGTCTAGAGTCCCCAGCTCCTAGCCAGGAGCAAGTGATCCTTCCAGAAGCACCCCATCACACTGAGCATACTTTGTGTGCTGGTGTTGCTACCTGTCCCCTCCTTCACAAGCAGATCTTGCCCCACATCCGCTGCAGGGATGTGTTCTGGTGAAAGTAGGGGGGTTCCAAGGTGCTGGCCCCATCTGGAGGAGCACAGTACCAGTTTGAGGGCACTGTTAAACCCCTCTGCCCTGCAAAGCACCCTGGTGCAGATGCAGCTACACCAGTAAATCTGTGCTCTTTACCAATGCCAGAGCCCACCAAGAAAAGCGCTGTTTAACCATTAGAGTCTGCTCCAGGGGCTTCCCACATCACAGCAGGGCTGATCAGGTCACCCCACGTCACAGTCCAGTGCCAGCGGTGCTGAAGAAGCCTGCAGCATCAGTATGGGAGGGAGGCTCTGCTGGTGCAGAGCAGGAAATGCCACACACATACCAAAGGGCAGGTGTCTGTTTACACACCTGGCCACAGCACACTGGAAGCTGGGGGGAAGAGGGCAGCAGCTTTCAGTGGCTGCACAGAAACAAGGAGTGATATGCAGTCAATGAGGACCCTGGGGCTCGTGACTCCACCCACCCCCTAACAGGACACAGGGCAGCAACAGTGGGGAAAGGGAGAGCACATTACAGCTCAACACCCAACCGCAGCTACACCCCCAGAGCCAGAACAAGAGACTGATCCAGGAGCTCCAGCCATAGGTCAGGGCCCTTCACACTGGGGCTGACCACTGGTAATGCCTCTTGTCTTCACCAGACCTCCGGGGCGCATGCCAGTGGGTGTTGTGGCTGAGGAAAAGCTTCCTTGAAAACATGGGGGAAAGCCCCATGCTAAAACAGGGCAGATTCGGGCCAGCACCCCTATGAGAGTCTACTATAGCCTCCCAGGGGTGGATCTTGGCTACACACCTGTGTTATGGAGATGGAGGATTTCTCCCTACGTGGCTTGTTGGCCTTTTGGATAAGGGCAAGCAACACTCAGGGGACATTCAAGCCCCAAGACCTCTGGCCTTGGGCCTGTACATAGGATGCTTGTCATGGGTTTGGGAGTATCTGAAGCCACAGGCTGAACAGTCTGGGAGGTAAGATACTTGCTGGTGGTAACACCACCTGGACTGGAATGACTGAGCTCTGCTCAGTGGATGGAATTTGGAACTTATTTGACTAATTTGGCCCGAGGCACAAAATTTAAAAAAATGCTAAAAAGAGACTCGGGCCAGGATGTCAGGCCCAAAAACACCTCAGCAGACCCTGGAGCATGGGGTGCCATCATCACATTAGCATAAGAGGGAGCTGCTTTGGAGGGTGCACTGCAGACTCTCCTGGGCTCCTGTAGCCAGTCCTGCCAGTTCACAGCAGCAAGACTGTGCCCAAGAGGAGGGGTGCCATTTCCTAGCCAGCAAGAGATGGGATCTCTCATCTCTGTGACAACCTATGTGCCCAGGGCAGCACAGTCCAGGACAGCTCCAAAATACAAACTGTTCTGAGGAGCTGTTGTATGAGGAGGGAGACATCCCATCCTCCCTGAACTTTGCTCGTGCTGAACGAGGGCTGTCAGTCACTCCCTGCCCTGCCCATCAATAACATGACTACAAGCTTCTGGCTGGGCAGCAGGGGCAGGCTCAGAGCTCACTGCTGCAGCACCTGCCATTCTCTCCCTCAGGGCTCCCCACAGGCTAATCGCTGTTGACCGACTCCTCCGGGCACTTGCCAGCGGTGTTTGCTTCCCTTCCCTCAGCCCTAAACCAACTCCACAGTCATCGCCCACGCCCAGAAGTCTGACAGCACCAAATCTGGCATCTTGGTTGCTGCCTCACCAGTCCTTATCCAGGGTATTTTCCAAACCTTTCCAAAGCCTCAGGAAAGCCAGGGAAAGCACAGGAGGTATCAGCTAGGAGGCTAGAAGAGGGGACAGGGAGCCACCACTCTTCGTCCTACCCCCTTCCAGATTGTCTAGCATCATTCAGCGAGTTGCTCCGCTGCTCTAGACTAGGATACGCACATGCCAACGGACCAGACCTTAACAGGTGAATGCAAGATTGCCCGAGTCGATTAATACAGCAGCAGAGACAGGTTTAGGCCATTCCTCCAGGCAGCCACAGGAGCCCAAGCAACGCACAGCAGTGCTCCTTCAGGGCCTTCTCCTGCTGCTCTGTCTTTGCCCTTAGCAGCACCACGAGGAGCAGCAGTGTTCTTGTGGCCTCACCGTTTTTCTCCTGTGCCCAGCAGCAAACATGCTCATCTTACAAGCAACTGAGGTTTGTATAGCCCAGCACTGCAGTGTCCAGGGCTCCCCAACCGCTACATCCCTGCAGGACTCAGCACAGAGCCTTTTGGAGCACCAGTGTGTTTTACATGCCACAGCCTGCCCCAGGCCGGCCCATGGCTTCAACCTCCACATGGCTTCTACATTCAGCCCCCACTTATATGTGCCAGCTTCCCCTCGTCAGTCCCTAGCTCTGGGCCACAGGTCTGTCAAGACTGCTTGGACCCAGCTCAGGGGCCCTGCAGATATTCTCCCCTACCTGATGACAATGCACTGGTTCTGCGGCCCCATCCCCAGGCGCCCCAGCATGGCCTGGTAGGCTCGGTCAGCCACAGCAAAGATGTGGGGGGGCAGGCTGCCCTTGGCACGGCTGCGGTACTTCTCGGCAATCTGCAGACGGGGCAGGGCCCAATTAACAAGAAATGTCAGAACCATGAGGGAGGGAGGGAGCAGGCTGAGTCCTCTCCTTCCTGCCGCCCTCCTCCCAGCAGCAAGAAGATGTGTAGGAGGGTGGTTCTTGCTGACTACATTTTCCAGGCACAAAAAGCTCCAGACCAGGAGGTGCCTTGGAGCAACCTGCCCCCAGGCCCTGCCCAGGCCCCTAGGATAAGGAGCTAGAAGACTGGGCTGGCGGCTGAGGGCAGCTGCTGCTGGGAGGGGGTTCCGGTTCTCTTGCACTGACGGTTTCAGATACGAAGAACAGCTCGCAGAGCTGGGGGAAGCGCCCAGACCAGCTACGTGATGAGAAAGAGCCCGGACGTGGGACAGCTGGCCGCAGTCCCCGAGAGACTCTGCTGGGGGAAGGGCCGAGCCAGCCCGGGCCGACCCCGCGAGAGGCCCCTAGACCTGGCACTGACCGGCTTCTCGTAGAGCGGCAGGCGCTGGAAGGGGTTCACGGCCACCAGAATATCCCCGACGTAGGTCTGGGAGGAGGGAAAAGCGAGCGGGCGTCAGAGAGCGGCCCTGGGCCCGGCCCCAGGCCCAGGTGGGACCCGGCGCCCCAGGTAGAGGCGAAGCATCCGGCCGCGACCTCAGCCCGCCCGCGCTCACATAGATCCGCTGTTGTAGGAAGCGGTCGGTCAGGCTCTGCAGCAACCGCGCCTCGTCCAGC